ACTACTGGAAGATTCTCCGGCACTCCGTCTGCGTACATCCTCACCAAGGATTAAATCGCGAATACCTTCGAATGTTAGCTTAGCACCTCCGGTTGAGCTGCTAACTGCTGTCACCGTACCGGACCAACTTTCGGGCAAAAATGATAATAGTAGCAACGCCTCGACTTCATTCTCGAATCCAATATCAACCGAAATCAATCTTGAGATGATTGAGTTGAATTCATTCACATGATCTGTCACCGAGCCACCTTCCTTCATCTTTAGATTTACTAACTGTCGAATCAGAAAAACCTTATTTGCTGCTGAAGGTTTTTCATACATGTTAGATAGGGCCTTGATCAACCCATGAGTAGTCTTTACATTGACAATATTGTAAGCTACATTTTTTGCCAATGATAATCTCACCACACCAAGTGCCTGCCGATCTAACAAGTCCCAATCCTCCTCCTTCATATCTTCGGGTTTCTCTCCGGACAGTGGTTCATGTAACTTCTTCTGGTAGAGATAATCTTCGATTTGCATTCTCCAGAAACCGAAATCGTGACCATCAAATTTGTCGATCTTAACCTTCCCATCTTCCGCCATAACTTCGAAAGAACAATATTGTATACTAGAATATAAATCTGTCGTACACAAAACGGTCAACCTTGTTTCTGATGTGGCCGATCAGACTAAGCTGCAACCACAGAGCATACTACAAGATATGACCTCCTTCAACCTTGGGCTCTGATACCAGTTGTTAGTAATAATAGACAATAAAATAAATTTCAGAACACAATATTTAACGTGGTTCGGTCTAATCTGACCTACGTCCATGGGCCAACGAGAGAGAGAGGATTTTATTATCACCAGAGAAAATTACAATCATACAAGGCTAAACTGCACTTGTAATCTGATCACTCAGTATAAGGTATCACTCGTGCTTTTGGCTGCCGAAAAGGCTCTGCACAAAAGGCTTCCTCACTATTTCTACTGGATATATAAGAGAAGTTACTTGACTCTTATATATGTTTTTGTTGTGTTTTGGTGTATCTTTTCCCTTCAACATATGCTTCCTTTTATAGTAGATGAAAAGGAATAAAGAGGAGAAATTAGTGGAGCAAATCAAGGAGTAATTTATGGAAAGAGGAGTGGGTGGGAGACAATGGTGAGTCTCCACCAATTAACTCAACAAAGAGATCATTTTGGCTCGTGCATAAGTCGATGTAAGTGAGAATCCAAATAGCAACTACCTCAAAATTGTTCTTTCTAGAGCAAAGCGAATGTGGCAGCAAAAAGAATGTGACAAAAATGACACTACTCCTTCTAGCCTAATAGGTTAAATTGTTATTCATGAAGGGTGAAATCCGCAATTTTCATTCTTTTGTATAAAAGAATAATAATAATAATAATAATAATAATAATAAAGAACGGTGTAACCAAGAAAAAAAAATCATGATTTTGCAGGCTTGACATTCCTTATCAAAATATGACATTCCAATCCAAAATTTATTTTTTTCATTTCTTGTTAATTACTTATTCTAATCCCATGCTTATTAATACATATCAAACAGAGGCTTAAAGTTATAGTATGGAGAATATTGTGTTTCTTATGTGGCGAGATTTGTAGTCTTAGTTCCACAATAGAAGCTTTTTGAAATTTTTTTTTTCTTTTTTTTTTAGAATGAAAAGGCTTTGAAAAAGCTTTAGGGACGGGACACAAACACTAAACTTAGAGAGGGTGAAACTATGTTAGGTTTGTTTATTGAAAAATGGATTAATCAAATATAGTTGTTTAATCGTTGCTATAATTAGGATGAATTGTATGGCCTTGAAAAGAAAATAACTAGATCTCGAAATAACTCATTAATTTGGAGGCTTCAAAATTTTAATGTAAGAAATGCAATAACAAGAGTTTAATTTTGCACCGCATTTTGGTAACGATGCTGATTTGAAGAGATCAAACTATATTGGACATGAAAAGGTAGACTATAATCTCTAGTCTACATGTTGATATTGCCTTCACGATCTTGGCAATATCAAATGTAATATCACTATTTGATGAAGTTTTGATGAGAGAGATTTTCTAGTCACTTTGCCAAGACTGATGATTGGTCTTTGCGCCTTGATGCTGTCTACAACTGTCATGATGGTGGCCTTTAGGGTAACGTTGTTCCATGCCTTTTGTCATAAAAGACCATGGATGTTTGCTCCAATTTGTGTATTATCTTCAGTCCCGATTACTACTTTTGGTACTCTTCAAATCCCCCTCATAGTAGATCTCTATCACTCAACATATGGACACATCTTTGTCATTCCAAAAAAAAATTAATAACAAATTGAAGACAGATGACATACACCTGTTTTTTGGTCAGTGAAATGAATATGCATCTTGAATTGACACATCTAGGGTCTGACAATTATACATTGATTATGTTATGGACAAATGTCATATTAGTTCACCAAACTTATCGTGTTTGTTCTAAAAGGTTACCAAACTTTTTTTTTGTACATTAAGGGAATAAACTCTTATTTTCATGTTCTAAAACATCGTTATGTGACCTGATACCGGGTAAGCCTGTAAAATGCGTTGACCACTGTTGGACCATCAATTTCACCTCCATCAAAATATCCTCACCATATCTACCCTTCTTGATCAATTCAACTAGTTCTTTTCATTTTTGGATCAATCGAACTGAAAAACTAGATGATTGATGATTCATTTTCAGATCAATCAAACCCTTCTTGATTAGCTTAAACTTTCTCACCATATCAGTTACTTTTATTATTGGGTCTCTTCATCATCTTAGAAATTTGTCTCTTATTAACAATCGAACCCTTCTTCAGTGGGTTGTTAAAAACGGGTATTGGAAGACTTTCTAATCTCAAAATTTTGCAATTTCATGGCATTCTTTTTCGAGCCCCTCCCAGGTGAAATATCACTAGTACAAAAATGACCTACGGTCACACTTTTCAAAAAATGGCCTATGACACTTTTTATTTAAAGTGTGGCCAAATGTCACTAAAAAAATCCCGTGACTGCTTTTGGATACATTTAAATTAGTTTATGTGGCCATTGTACAAATAATCAAAACTTTAACCACACTTAAATATACCAAATGTGACAATTATTAGCCACACTCGAACGTTGTGACCATATATCACCATCAGCTACGAATACTGATTAGCATTATGATACATTTTTTATACAAGACAATAGATAAATATATGGTGACATGAGACAATTTTATATGTTTCTATATCATGGTGCCCTTTTAGACATATGAAAGCCAATGTAGCTAAAAGGTGATACATATGGTCACATTAAATATTTGTGTGTCCATAGGGTGGTGTTTATTAGCGACTTAGTAAAAGCAAGAAAACAAGTTACTTTTAGTGGTATATGGTTATGTGCCTTTGATTATGTGTGTCAAAATATGATGAATTGGCTTTAAAAAACAAATATTGTACGTGTAAGTAGCATTTGGTTATGGTTACAATTATTATGTGTGTCTATAAGTAAATTTAGGTATAGAAGACATATAATGTCTCATCAGAATAATTATAGTATGGTCATTAAATGTGTGACTATGATTTTATAATGGTAATTATTTTTGTACTAGTGTATGTCTAAAGTTAAAGAATAGTCTACATAAAACGAAAATATGTTGCTATAAGTATTTACTAGTAACTTATTAATATATTTTGTGCTTCATTTTTTTTATTTATTATTTTTGGGAGAGGGAGACCCTCTGGAAATTTTTATAAAACAAATAGAAAATGATAGAAAATGAGGAAGAGGGTTAAAAGGGGTCATGGAAAACTTTTACTAGTGAGGTAACGTGATTAAAGCGAGGGAGACTACAAAGTTGGATAGAGAACGAAAGATATACGGGTTGTTTGGCAGGATATGAATTTTTAAGATTTGGATTTTTAAGAGGTCTGAATTTTTAAGAGGGTCTGAATTTTTAAGATTTGAAATTTTAACATGTTGTTTGATTGGAACCTATGAAATTATGTGCTTAATTATAAAAATGACCATTTTACCCTTTGTATTATTTTTTAATAAATTGAATGTTTATTTTTCTAAAATACAATGTTCTAACTAGAAGAGGTGGAAGTATGATGTTATAATACATAAATCAATAAAAGTACATTGTTATTTCTTACATTGAACCCTTTACAAAAACAATCTTACAATAGATATGAAAACAACCTGAAAAGAAGAACACTAGTAAAGAAACATAAACACAAATTGTGTATATAAATTGAAATGTGAAGGTTTTGTTCCTGAAAATTCTACCATGACAACTTTGATGTTGTATAATGCAAATAACGGATTTTTCACCCAGACAGATTCCAAATGGAATGATACCATCAACCGGTATCTTACTCCAAAAATGGCTTTATGTTCACAATCATATGCTAAACACCTACAAAAAAATATTCTAAGCAGTAGGTTAATCTAAATGATTCAATCACATAAGCAACGAGTCTAAATGCAACCATTCTATAAATCAAGACAAGCTTAAACTAATAGATGATTTTAGTCAGGTGGCATCTACAAGAAGTATTAAATTGCCATTCAATCTGATGTTGACTAAATGAACAATACCCGGTGGTAATTGAGTCATAGAGCAAGGAAAAAAAGAAGAAAAAACCGATATATGAACTTATAATCTAATTCATAGCAAAAAAGAATGAACAAATCAATGTATCACTAAGAATCGATTTCTAGGGGGAAAAGAATTTTTTTGATGTATTCATGAGAAAATGATTCCAGCAAAAAAATCGATTTCAAGAATGTTTTACCCCGAGAGACGTTGTCGTTGGACTTTGATAGCGCTGGGAAAGGCATTGGCTAGAGTTGGTTCAAGGGCTGGCGGAGGCGGTCACCGGACTGGAGGGTGATGGCCGGAGATGCAACCCTTCTATAATGCAATTCTTAGCAAAAAGAAGACAAAACAAATCAATGTATTACTAAAAATCGATTTTCAGGGGGGGGGGAAGAAAACAGATTGATGTATTTAGGGGAAAAACGATTCCAACAAAAAATAGAATTTAGGGCAAGAAAGTTTTACCTGAAGGACGTTACTGTTGGATTTTGTCATCGCTGGCAGAGGCACTGGTTGGATGTTGTTCGAGGGCTGGCGGAGACGGTCACCGGATTGGAGGGCGATGGCCAAATATGCGAGCGATGTGGAGGAGTGGCGACGGTCGGCGCTGTAAAGCAAGAGAAGTGGATCGTCGGGTGTAAGGCAAGAAGTTTCACCAATGTTGCAGACTCGGCGCTAGCGATAGAGGATCGTGGAGGTCGGATGTGGGTCTCTCGTGGAGGCCGGTGTTGTAAGGCATGCTTGGCTAGACAAAGGAACCAACGAAGAAGAGGGAAAATGAAAAAATAAGTGTAGGATTTTTAATTTTAGTGAAATTTTGTAACAACCAAATATTGTTAAAAAAAAAAGATTGATTACATAATATAATTAGAAAAAATATTGATTAATATTGGTTATATAAAATATACAAAATTATATGATTTTTCTATGGTTTGTATTCATGTGTTTGAGAATAATTATCAAAACGTTTATGTGTTTGTTTCTATTTGTGTGGTTTGTTTTTGACAAATGTAAAATAACTTTTTAACATTTTGTGATGTTTGAGGTAGGGTGAGGATGAGGATGAGGGTGAGGGTGATGTGGGGTGTGTATCATGGGGGTGGCACTAATCCATGAGGAATGGGTGTTAGATTGGTGGGTGTATGGTGTACTGTAGGTGAGCTTATAGCTTTTGGCTCATCGTTTATGGTTTATGGCTTAAGGCTTATGCTTAGGTATTACGGTTCATGGATTGTGGCTTATGGATTAAGGCTTTTTAGTGCTTAAGGCTTAGGGTTTATGGCTTATTAATCCATAAAGCTTAAGCTGATGGGTTCTGATTAACGTTTGGCTTTAAGCTTATGTCTTGGGGTTTGGGGGGTTAAGGTTTATGGTTTGCGACTTAAAGAGTATGACATAGGGCTTAGGGCTTAAGGCTTAGGGTTTATGGCTTAATATGGCTTATTGATTGGGATTTATGGATTATGGCTTAAGTTTTAGGGATTAGGGCCTATGGATTAAGGCTTGGGGCTTTAAGATTACTTCTTAGAGTTTGGGGCTTAAGTCTTATGGTTTATTGCTTAAATAGTAAGTCTTGGATCTTATGGCGTATGGATTATGGCTTAAGGCTTATGGTTTATAGATTAATATGTCTTATGGCTCACGACTTATGAATTAGGGATTAAGTCTTAGTGCTTATGGCTTATGGATCAAGGTCTTATTGATTATTGCCAAGCACTTATTTCTTATGACTAGTCACTTAATTATACCTTGTGGCTTACGGTATATAGCTTATGGCTTAACGCTTATGACTTATGGCTTAAGGCTTAGGGCATATGACTTAGGGCCTAGAGCTTATGGCACATGATTTAGGGCTTCAGGCTTAGGGCATATGGCTTAGGGCTTAAGGCTTAGGGCTTAGGGTTTATGGCTTAATGCTTAAGGCAAATCCTGACCTATGCCTCACCCTACATCCCACACCATCTACCAAAATCTACCACACCCCTACTCATACCACCGACCCTCCCCCATCCTTACACTCGGCCCTCCCATATCCACACCCACACTCCCATACCCACCCACCCTCACCCTATATACCATATGTTACCCTTACACATACATACCCCACACCCATCCTGACTTGTACCCCTCATACCAACACCCACATACTCATCCCAACCTACCCCATATTTACCTTAACCCCACCCTCACATCCATACCTACAAACCCATGTCGACTCCTATCCAACCCACCCACACACCCTACCCCCATATTAATCCCTACCACCCCATATCCATACCTAGACAACACCTAAATATTTGCTTTAGAGTAATTCCATGTTCATCATTATTAAACGAATTCTAGAAAATCTTTTAAAAACGGAGTGAAGTCAAAATTAAAACTAATTCATTAGGATAACGATTTTTTTAGATTAAAAAGGTAACTAGAATTATTATTAAACTAACTTTACTTTTTTTTTTAACTTTTTAAAACCCAAAATAACTAACTAGGATATTTTTTATTTCATTTTTAAAATTTTCAAAATCTTCAAAATATTGAATTTTTTTCTACGTACTATTTACATTCCCCGCTTCAGTCTGCCCTAGAAAAAATCGTTCCAGTCTCTCGATTTCGTCTCTGCTCTTATCTCGATCTGCCCCATCGTATCTTCTTTCTTACGGGAGTATCCTTCATTAGGTGCATCTTTACTCGCTGCCTCATCCTTTTGCCTCTCTCTCAATCGGTGGCTTCTCTATTTTTGCATAAGAAGACTTTAAATCAGCGAATCATTAGGTTAAACTCTTGAAGGTTAAGATAGGATTCGGTTTAATAAATCCTATATAGATCAACAATTAAATCCATACAGAGTCTCGAACTTCGTCTGTCAAATCCAAATCGGCATAGCATCGGACCAACACAAATATGGCCGCCCAAATTCGTTCATAAAACTCATAATCTGAAGATCATCACTCACACATGTACGTCTGTGTAGGATACAATTTTTTATGCACTTTTCTTGTTTTTGATTCTATCTGTAAAGAACGATATGCTATTGTATAGTTTGAAGAAAATGGAGTCATTAAGTTCAGTTAGTAGTTTGCTTTGTTTGGTTTAATGAATCATTTCTTTCTGATTTACAATAGCTGGAAATCCCATGGTTGTGAAGCAGGAGACTGAGATGCTGGAAGCGAAAATCAAGATGATTAGATAGAGAATTCAAGGGGATGTGTCGACGAATGCTGATCAAATTGCATTAATTGAGAGATGCAGCAAGCATAAAACAAAGAGGCAAATCAATTTGGGATTCTTCTGGTTCATTCAATCACTTGAAGATGTTATATATGATCCATGTTCATCTTCAGTAAAACCAACATCTAGCTTCTTTAACTACTAATGTTTTGTAAATGTAAATGAATACAGGGAAAGGTTGTTTTATTTGTTGATGTTTCAGATCTAACATATGAAAAAAGTTGTTATATTACTTGTTTTCATATTTAAACATTTTTTACAACATAATAGTATGTCTTCAAATAATAGTTTTTTAAAGTTATGATGCAGATTGGAGCAATTGTGGTGGTTGGATCTTGGACCTGATCCAAATGTAAACTATTACAAAATACAGTAAGATACCCCATTTACTCATTATATCAACATCTTATATACCTAGTGTTTTGGAAATATATCTATGTATTGAAGTTAAATTTATAAAAAGTTGTAAGTGGTGAGTAATTTGCAGGTATGAAGCTCTTTGCATTCATGAGAATCCAAGATGCATTTTCATTGCTACTAACAATGGTGCCACTATCAATATGACTAATTTACAAGAATGTTCAGGTAAGAATCAAGGGCATTCACATCTTTTGCACTCAAATATCAAGCATGAGTCTTTGTCCCACCTTACCTTTTCGAGTCTTAGTCCTGGCTGTTTAAGTTTTCACAAATTGGGTCTCAAGGTTTTACTTTGTTGATTTAAGGGTAATATGGTAATTAAGTGTAATGTGCTGCATTGTTAGGTGTTGGGTGCATGGTTGCTGTTGTTTATGGAGCAACAAAGAAAGAGCTAACTGTAGTCGGAAAACCACCAATCTTTTTGATGGATTTATTACAAAAGATGTAAGTAGTCAATTGAATCCTTACTTCCATTTCTTAATCTATTACAACATTATACTATTAACTTTTTCTTATAAGGACATTATACTTTGAAAATTCTATCCAATAATAGCATTATACTTATAATTTTTTGTCTTAATGTTTGACACCTACAATTTTTTGTTGCTCCAGGTATCAAATCCACCATCCAATCAAAATTAAAACACGGAACTCCAAGATTCTAAGAAGAAAAATAAAACTTATACAACGTTAGAGTGCATGACAAAAATGTTGGAAATATAGTTCTTAGTTTATGTGTAAAGTCTTGTATATATGATGTATCTTTTGATTACAAGTTAATGTATTTAGTATTTGAATTGAAAACTTATCTATTGATTTTTTTATTAATGTTAATATCATTTTCTTTTAAGTTTTATCATGTTTACTGTTGTTTTTATTTTACAAAAAATTGGAAAGAAAATGAATAATATGTCTATTGATAACTGTAACTTTATGTAAACATTAGTTACACCATATTAAACAAAATTCATGTGGCTTTATATAAATATTAGTCACACCAAAATTGTAATATTTTATGTAATTGTGTCTCTATACGATAGACAATAGTCACAATAAAAAATTGTTTGTGTGACTAATTATTAGCAAATTTTCACTTATGAAAGTAATTACATGTGGCCATTTAGTGAACATGGTTATGTTCAACGTAATTGTATGTCTGAAAAAGATACCCAATAGTTTTAATAAACTTTGAATTGTGTCACAAATTATTAGCTAAACGCCACATTGAAATAACATGTATATCGTCAGTTGGTGATATACAGTCACTACAATTACTAAAAAAGCGTGTCTACTGATAGTTTAATGCCACAATATTGGATAAAATGATTGATTATAGCAACAAAAATCCATACCCAATAGCCACACTTTTATAATACAGCTACATTTTTTCATATCATACGAACACTAAATTTTAATGTGTCCATAAGATCCCTACGATGGCATCGCCTTCTGTCACACTTTCAGTGAAAAAACAAAATGTCACTATACGTATATGGTCACACTTTTATGGTGTGTCTGTAGGTCATTTTTATACTAGTGTAGGAAACCTAACTAGTTTGATGTTGTTAAACTTGGGGCAAAACCAATTTCCGAGTACCATTCCTGTAGAATTTTCAAACATTTCTTCACTTCAAATCCTTTTGCTTGGTAACAATAATATTGAAGGAGAGATTACATATGAAATCTTGTTGGGGATATTGAAATAGGGTTCTGGGAAATCTGGATAACAAACAGGAATCGTGTAAACACTTTCCTTGTTTGATATTTTGACCCTATATGCCTTAGGTATCACGAAATCCAAACTGGGATAATTCCTGATGCAGCAATTCCGATCTTAGGCACTAAATCAGAATCAATTGAAGAAGATGAAAAAGAAATCGTTCTGTGTTTTTCTCTGTGTTTCAATAGGCCGTTTTACCAGACTTATCCAACAACGGATAAATCAAAACAGTTGTCATCTTTCAAGAATGAAAAATTAGACCTTGTAATGTCTTTCAAGAATGACAAATTAAACCTTGTAATGTCTTAACACAGTAGATTACGGTTCGATACTAACAATATTTAGTAAATACAAGTGTGCACTCCCGCACCTCCTAACTTGTATTATAACTAAAATATTATTCTTGAAACACTTGTTAAGTCCATTACACTAAAATATATTTGGTGATAAAATCACCAACAATCCTCCCCTATTTTAGTGTAACCTTGAATTAACAACCTTAAAACAAAAGAAACGAAAAACTAATGCATAAATGAAAATATCGATACGATTGAATTTTTTTGTTAGTATATTACACATTTCAAACATTCGAGAAATCAAGGTATCTTAAAGATTGAACCCATCAACTCGTTTGAATATCTGAAGATAATATACACATTAGTTTTACAATCATCTAAAAGAAAATAACTTGACACTAATTATAAAGCCGTGTGTCCCAATCCATTCTTGATCGTATAAAAGCAAAGTCCCAAGCTCTTTGAAGTACGGCTACACTTCATGATCATATAGGTGATTCTTTATTCATGTCCCTATATACATTTTATCAAAAGAATCATTAAGAAATCCAATTCATCTTGGTCTCTACAGGTTCAAACACACGTACCTTGGGATTGTTATAATGTTTGTTCCAATTCATATAAATAAGCTTTCCACATTGAATTCAACCTCTAACATTGGTTCAGAGGGGAAGTGGGTGTCTCATTCATAAGAATTCATAAGGACTTTAAGTCCATCCCTATAACAGACTTGTGCACTAAGTCTCGCGGCAAACTCTTAGTGACATGATCCGCCAAGTTTTGTTGTGATTTTACAAACTCAATTGATATCACACCATCCATTATTAGATTTCTAATCATCCCATGTCTAACATCAATATGTCTCGATTTACCATTATAAACTTGACTATAAGCTTTACTCAAAGTAGGAACACTATCATAGCGGATAGATAATGGCGCAATCGGTTTCCTCCACAATGGAATCTCATAAATCAAATTCTTTAACCATTCTGCTTCCTTGCTTGCAGCGGCCAGTGCAATAAACTCATATTCCATTGTTGAACTTGTTATACAAGATTGTTTCTTAGATGCCCATGAGATAGCACCTCCACCAAGTAAAAATACCCAACCAGTTGTAGAAGAATGATCTTCTCTATTGGATATCCAACTCGCATCAGAATATCCTTCCAAGACCGAAGGAAATCCTGAGTAACACAAGCAATAATCCTTGGTTCCTTTCAAATACTTGAAAACACGATGAACCGCTTGCCAATGTTGAGTACTAGGATTATGAGTAAATCTATCAATCTTCCCACTGCGAAAGCTATATCAGGACGAGTGCTAGTCATATCATACATCAAAGATCCTATAGCTTGCGGGTAGTCTAGTTGAGAAACTGATCTGCCTCTATTAGGCATCAGCTTCATGCTTGAATCCATAAGGGTGCTAACGGGTGTACAATCACTGTAATTAACCATTTGAGAATTTTCACAATGTAATGTGACTGTGTAATAGCAAGTCCCTTGTTCACCTGTTTAATCCTTATTCCAAGGATTACATCCGCTTCCCCCATGTCCTTCATAGAAAACTTTGAAGACAACAAATTCTTTGTTGCATTAATTTGATTTTGATCAGTGCCAAAAATCAACATATCATCTACATACAAGCAAATGATCACACCAGATCCAGATGAATCAAAACGGCTGTAAACACATTTGTCAGATTGGTTTAAAGAAAAACCATTAGACAAAATTACTTCATCAAACTTCAAATGCCATTGTTTTGGAGCTTGTTTAAGTCCATACATTGATTTCACAAGTCTACACACTTTTTGCTCATTTCCAAGCAAAACAAAACCTTCTGGTTGTTTCATATAAACTTCCTCGTCAAGATCACCATTCAAAAAATTTGTTATAACATCCATTTGATGAATGACTAGATTGTTATAACATCCATTTGATGAATAACTGCCAAAGCGAGTAACAATCTAATGGTAGAAATCCGTGCTACTGGTGCATACGTATAAAAATAATCGATACCGGACTTTTGTCTAAAACCTTGTATAACCAGACGAGCCTTGAATTTATCAATGGTTCCATCTACCTTCATTTTCTTCTTGAAAATCCATTTACATCCCAAAGGTTTAGAACCAGGAGGTAAATCAGATAACACCCAAACATTGTTCTCCATAATGGATGACATTTCGTCATCAACCGCTTCTTTCCAAAACGCAACATCTCGCGACTCCATAACTTCCTTAAAAGTCTTTGGATCAGTCTCAAGATGAGAGGAATATGAGTATTGATTCTTCACTTTATCCCTCGAACCTTCAACCTGTAACACTAGTCAAAATAGGTCAATAACAATCACATGTGATTATATCAATCATGTAATGTGATTTTGTCAAAACAAGTAATGTAGTAAACTCACTATGTATTTCATGATAATTCTAATATAAATATGAACTTTCATACATACTTTATAGTATAAATCAAAGTATACATCCATACGATTCCAAAAATATAGAGAACATCTAAATCTGACTTCGCGTGAAGAAGTTATGATAAACCGAACACTATAAATCTCTATAATAAGAGGAATTTAAAATAGACTTAGAATTATCTATTTGAGTCTAAAAGAAAGTCGTAGTACTCGGAATTACCTACGCGTGCATATAAAGAACGTCAAAAACGGAGTTCATATGGAAAGTTATGACCTTTTGAAGTTGGAGCTGTCTGAGAGCATGGCACGTGGCAGGAAACCCTAACTGTCTGGATTCATGACTTGAAGCTTAAATTCACGATGTGAAAGTAGTCCAGGACACATTTTCGGATCTAGAAGGTGCGTGACGAGGCTACGAAGGGGATAAGTTCAATCCTCACGACGTGGACATCAAATTCACGACGTGAAACTAGAATTGTGACACGTTCCGAAGCTAGAAGACGGATGGCAAGTCTACGGGGATAAGATCCAAACTCACGACGTGGGCCTTATAAAACCCACGATGTGGGGGTCCAAAATTCTTACTATAAATACCAGGTCCGGCTTCAGCCATTCTTACACCTAAACTTCTTTATCCTCTCTCCTTAGCTGAAGCCATCTAGCATCCCGAGCGCCGACGACCTCGTACCGCTGACCGTTTCTGCTTAGATTACATACAATCACGCTACTAAGGTGAGTTTCACGGCCCCACTTTCTAATATTTCAGGGGAAAACACATGCTAAATATTATATATACATTATTATTATGTCTATATGATAGTATATTAGTATCAATGTAGATAGTTATAATAACCGGGATATAGTTATTTCGTATTTGAAAATATACAACTATTGTAAAGTTGTTGGCATGTTATTGTTATAGTAGTATACTAATGTAGATCTTGAGTTATACTTAGGATTCTATATATATTATGTGTGCGATATAGTTCCAGAGTTATACTCGGAAGTCCTATATGTTAATTGATAAATATGTTGTTATTGTTGGTTTTATGTCAAGATAAAACCAGGTATGTTATATGTTGTGGTTATTGGTTTTATGTCAAGATAAAACCTGGTTTTAATTATAATAATAGTTGTTGTACTGCCTAAGTATTATAAATATTAGGAGTAATGTTAAAAGCATAGTCTAATAACTTAGGGTTTTAGACACGAATATGATTTTACTACTAGAACTAACGGAACTCGACAAGTCTACATGAGTTATTGTATTCATCAACTAAGATTGGAAATCTTAGGGAAAATCCTCTGACCTGTAACCGTTAATCCCGTGTGAGCGAGGAAGTC